AACAATGTGTTTAGACATGGTCACACATTATGCCATAAAAATCTGGTGCAGATCGGATGATATATCACTGAGATATAACTGTTGGTATATTGTAGGGGGCGCTGTAGAGTCAAAATAAAAAAAAAACATACTACTGTGTCCCCCAGGCCTAAATAATAACACACCATAAATTTGGTGCAGATCGGCTGATATATCACTGAGACAAAACAGTTTGAATAATGTAGGGGGCGCCCTTGAGTCAAATATTAAACAACCCAACTAAAATGTCCATCAGTTCTCAGTAATGACGCACCCAAAATCTGGTTCAGATCCGATGTTGTATCACTGAGATATAACTGTTGGAAGAATGTAGGTGGCGCTGTGGAGGCTCTTGGCCATTTATCATGGAACCCTGTTCAAAGGTGGATTCTGATCAATCATAGTGATTTTGGTTCATCTGGGCTCAAATCTGTGCAATTTAGAGCCAAACGTATTGCAACGGCGTCACTTTAATTCGCCATGGCGCCACGCCCACATTCTCTAGCTATAACTGTTTTGTTGTTTAAATCAAGTCAGACCATCTTGTCTGTCTTCTAACACAGGATCATCCTGATTATGTGAAGGGTTTCAAAGAAGGACCATTCCAATTAAAAAAAGTCACTTCCTGTTGTGAGGGGGCGGGGCTTTGATGACGTCACAATATGACCTCAGGGTATCGTCGGGCATGTGACAGGGATGACTCGTGCCAAATTTGGTGCAATTCTGTCTTTCAAGTTGAAAGTTATAACGTTTGGAAATTTATGGCGTGAAGCTCAACTTTGAGGCCTGGCCACGCCCCTTTAACAAAACGAAACCGAAAGCTTTTGATAACTTTTACTCTCAAATGTCTTAAAGGTCTAATAACCAAGTTTTAAGGCAATCCTTCAAAATCCCTAAGAGGAGTTCGTTAAAATTCGCCGTTAAAAACGCCCAAAAATTAACCTTTGACCCAAAATGGCCGACTTCCTGTTGGTTTTGGACCTGAGCTCCAAGAGACTTTTTCATAGGTTCCGAGAAGATACACATGTTCAACGAGTTTCAGAATTATCGGTCGAAAAATGGCTTGGGGCTGAGGTTTTAAAATATTCTAGGGGGCGCTATAGAGGCTATTGCGCAATTATCATGGTTTCCTGTTCAAGGGGCGGACAATGATCGATCGTAGTGATTTTGATGAACCTCGGTTCAAATCTGTGGAATTTAGAGCCAAACGTATTGTCACGGCGTCACTTCTGACTTCGCCACGCCGCCACGCCCACATCCTCCAGCGGAAACGCTTTGCGCTTCAAAGCAAGTCAGACCAACTTGTTGTCTGCCTTCTAACACAGGATCATCGTGATTGGGTCCAGAGTGTCAGGGAAGGAGCATTCCAAGCAAAAAAAGTCACTTCCTGTTCTGAGGGGGCGGGGCTTTGATGACGTCAAAATTTGACCTCAGGGTATCGTCGGGCATGGGACAGGGATGACTCGTGCCAAATTTGGTGCAATTCTGTTTTTCAACGTGAAAGTTGTAGCGTTTGGAAATTTTTGGCGTGAAGCATAATTTTGAGGTCCGGCCCCGCCCCCTCAACATACGTCGGTTTGCACCGTTTTGATAACTTTTGGTCCCCCATGCCTACTGAGCAAAATGGCGCAAGTTTGAAACCGATTGAGCGAAATCCCTAGGAGGAGTTCGTTCAAATTTGCCGTGTACGAAAAGTGAAAAACGGCCAAAATTGACCCTTTGACCCAAAATGGCCGACTTCCTGTTGGGTTTAAGGCATACCTCCAAGATACTTTTTTTCATGATTCAGTGGGTTGTACATGTGTACCAAATTTCAGCTCTCTAGGTCTTACCAGTTGTCATATCTCACGTTAGGGGGCGCTGTGGAGCAGTTTGGCCACGCCCACTTTTGGTTCCATTAAATACCTCAAATTTCTCGCGGGGGACAATTTTGGGTCAAATATGGTGAGTTTTCGAATATGTTAAGGCCTCCAAATTAGCGCTCTTTGACGGAAAAAAATTTGAAACGACACAATAACAATAGGCCTTCGCAGCGCTTAGCTGCTCGGGCCTAATTAGTGAAAGCTAACGCTAACAGATAACCATCATACAGTGCTGTCGCTGACACTGTAATAGGTCTACTGACTGTAGTAACAACCAAGGCTTAATTTGTTAACGTATGACAGAACATAAATAGTGAGCGGGCTGGCAAGGGGTGTCTGGGGTCCTCCCCCAGAAAATTCTGAATAAAGTAGATGCAATTTCCTGCATTTTGGTGTATTTTAACGGTTGTTAAACATCTATGTTTACCTACATTTGTAAACGCTCCACTTCTACCCCGCCTCCCTCCTACTTGATGGTTCCGAGACAACTCATCTACGCTGATTTCACTGTCCCTGCTCGTTGTTGTCCACCTCCACATGTGAACCTCCAGGAAACTCCGTCTGTTTGTGGTGGCTGCCTGTGGGCTCCTGCCCACACACGACTGCCTGGTTAGCTCGGCACTCACTCCCACCACTCTTAGGTGCAGAGACTTTTTTAAGGGTAGATGCGGAAATGCTGCTTGAAGGTGCAGCTTGTAAATAGCTGTTGTGTTTAAAATTAGTGTTTATGTAATTATTTTCTGTTTACAAGTCCAATATAAGTTTTATTCGTTCAAGGCTGTCAATTTTTTTCATAACTTTATTATTAGTAAATCTGAGTGTTACCGGATCCAAGTAGTTAACAGAACGCACCCTGTCAAAATATGAGTTCCTGGATCCTGTTCCAGCAATAGCGTCTGGGTATTACTACTATCTGGATACTACAAAAAAAAAAAAAAAAAGGCTGAAAAAGGTACTCCAGATTATGTCTTAAAAATATATATTTTCAAATTCCTTATGCAGCCCTTTGACTGCTTTAATTTTCTTGATTTGGCCCTCTGCAACAAACGTTGCCAACCCCTGGTTCACACTGTTAACATTGCCTGCTGTATGTCTGTGCCTTGTTTGACTTAAATAAAAATGTTGTATATATTGTGAAAATAGGGAACCAAGGAATTGCAATAATGAGCATCCCAGCAAGGCTTCTGGATGAAAAATGCCAACCCAGCATGCTACCATTACTATTTTAAAAATGCAACATGGAGGACAACTTGGCCTTTGCAGCTTAGAGGTCTGCAACCTGTGGCTCTGGGGCCATGTGTCCCAGAGGTTCATCTGCAGTGGCCATTTGTAACCATGACCATTAAAAAACATGGAAACAAATGTTTATATTTTGAACCACATAAGGAAAAGCCAGTGCTGTTATCCATTTTTTAAAATTCTGTAACAAAATTATACCATTTACATAAAAAACAAATATTTTCAATTAATAATTTGTTAGCCCTTTTACTATTTCATTAATTTACCTTTGAGCCACACACACGGTGTGGTGTTTTTCTGAAATCTACTAAAAACAAAACATTTTAACTAACTTACAGAGGGTTGTTGAAGACAAAAACACAAACAGCTGTTAAACACAAAACTCTGTTGCTGGTTATTGGAATCATACATTCAGCAAAAGGTTCATTTGAGAGCAATGAAAACTAGAAATAAAGGCTTCTCTGTCATAAAAACTAAAAACATTTAGGTAAATGAAGGTGTTTTCCTAATTCCTAAAATGTAAAAATACTGATAAATGTTAACTATTTATTTTAGCTCTTTAATGACAAAATGTAACAAACTAGTTTTTATATGTGTTATTTATTTAAAGCGTAACCCTCCTGCTGCCCTTGGGCTAAAATGACCCACGAGGCCTCAGTTTTAAAATTGAAGCCTTGTGGATTATTTTGACCAACATGAGGGTAATGACACTTATTTCAATCTTCAGTAAGGTTTAGAGGTTCTGGATAAATTTTAATTAGTAAAAAAGGGTCAGAAATGGCTCCTTTGATGTAAAGATTGTAGACATTAATGTGTTAATTTACTGTTTAGCATACAAACAATTTTACCTAAAACAGATAAAACTGGTTTGAAGACCAATGACTAATGTTACAAAAAAAAGGAAAATGTTATTGTTGGTACATGCCAATCCTAAGCACCCAGTAATGGTCATTCAGGTCATCTGGACAGTTTCTTTTTTGTGGACAGGCGTTTCGCTCTCTATCCAGAGGGCTTCATCAGTCTGAGGAGTTCCAAGTAAACTGTTTTCCTCACTAAGCCCTGATGAAGACCTCCAGGTAGAGGGCAAAACGTCTTTCCACAAAAAAAAAAGAAAAAAACTGTCCAGATGACCTGATTGACCGTTATTGGATTTGTACCTGGATGACTGAGCATGAACTTTGATGTCTTGAACCACTTTGAGTGTGGCTGCCTGTCTGGGAGGAGTCAATGGGGGACAGGACAGCCCCCAGAAACCATATTATCACCAGCAAACTGGTTGGTTCACTAAAGGAGTGTACGGCTTAGTGGGAAAACAGTTTACTTGGGACTCCTCAGACTGATGGAGCCCTCCAGATAGAGGGCAAAATGTCTTTCCGCAAAAAATAAACTTTCCAGATGACCTGACTGACCATTATTGGATTAACTGGATGATTGAGCATGAACTTTGATGCCTAAGCACCCAGCTTTTATTAATGCATTGTATTAGATGAGTACGGTATTTCCAAAGAAAAATAAAGATGTCATTTAGTACCATTCAAAAAGGCATAATAATTTGGATTTTTGCAAAATGTGGCCTGTCATTTAATTATATTGACTCAAAAGACATTTTAACAGAAAACAATTTGTGAAAAAAAAAATAGATTAAGTTTGCTCTTTTTGCTCAAATGTATTATTGTTTTTATTATAATTTGTAACAGGTATGATTATACCCAGTTGACATCTTTAACATGTTAGATTTAAAAAGTAACCCAGTGGACAGTGTTGAGTATGAGTATTCATGAAGTGAAGAAAAATATAACTTGTTTTAAATGTAGTGTAAATAGCATCAGTCATCATCACTGAGGGCTGTGAAGAGGACTGGTTCATGAGAAAATTCTCAGCTCAGGAATCCAGTCCACAGATGAGCGCAACCCCCCGTTTGATCCAGTGACTCTCACTGCGATCTGTGGGCAGCTCCACTGCAGTCACATTGTTGGTGGAATGACCAGTGGACGTCCAAGTCCCTGTCAAAGCACAAACAGCAGGTAAGTGACAAACACAAGACTTGAAATAGCTCTTTTTTTCATTGCTGAACAGTTAGGTGTTTCTGAGCTAGCACAAAGTCATGACTTCCTGCTGTGGGTGGAAAATGCAGAACTGCACTTTCAGAAGCTTCTTGAAACTTGACACTTACTGGAGTCTATTTTGGATGAGCAATAATACCACTACAAGGAAATACATACAAACACTTGAGCAAGCACTTCAGCATGAAGTGACAGGTTCAAAACCTGAATCAAAGTTTTTGGCATTGGGTTATATATTATTTTAGTCGCAGCACATTAGCAGTTTGCTGTATACAGATAAATCTTATCCCTCTTAAGACCTGTGTGTACTGACCGGCTCGTCTGAGCGTTTTGTAGACAGGACAGAGGTAGACCCTGGAGGTTGGAGGAGTGCGGTTGTGTTTGGGGATCAGCCAGATGACAGCCATTTGTGTGTAGAGTTCCTTGGGCTTGGATTCTGTGAGCTGACCTGCCTTGCTGTCCCAGCGAGCCCCTTCCAGGAATAAACCATGAATGTAGCAGCCAGTGTGAGGTATGACTCTTATCTCTGACACTGATTTCGCTATCACCTGAGGGAGCAGGCATCAAAAAGAAGACCAGGAAGAAATGAGGTCATGGTCAGTTGAAACATAATACTTTATAGCAACTCTACCAGGAACAAAACAAGGGTCAAGCTTATCTACAGTACATCCAGTTCTGTCTTTACGAATATAAGCTTTATATGAATTGAGCCCGTGAGGCAAAATTAACTTTAGAGACCTCAAAGTCAAATCCAACTGTGTCAACAGAGTAGCCAGCGCGCCGGGCGTAATTCTGAAGGGTTCCAGTGAGAAATGCCTGGGGGAAAAATAATCCACTAATCCAGAAAACAGGCGGAGGGCCACTGGAGATCCATCTCTGCAGGAAACTGATCCTCTGAAGAAGATCTGAAACCCAGGAACCCAGAGGTTTCAAAGACAGGTAGGCCTGTTCAGAGAAAGTAGCAAAGCGATGTATTAGTACACAGTTCAGTGCTTTCCTAGAAAGCAGAACCTAAATTTGTTAGAGTGAAATAGATAATTTAACTGAAGTCAAATAATGTTCTGTTTAATGAAATTTCAACAAAACTACCGGTATATAGATGGTAAAAAATACTACACACAAAATTGTTACATCATAAAAAATGCATGACTAAAAAAACTTGCAAAATCAGACTCAAAAACTGAACAGTCACAAAATCACATATATCTCTTGAGTTTCACATCTACAGTAAATACATGAATGAGTTACATATATGATTAATACTAAATAATAATAATAATAATAAATATGTGTCATATTCTGTGAGTATCAACTGCAAATCAAACAATGACTGCTGTGTGAGTCTTGCCTTGGCTGTCCACACATCAGGCACCCTGTTGTTGAACAAACTGTGGATCGTACGCTCCAGTTCTGATGACATCACTGCTGAACCCTTCAGAGCCTTCATCACATCACAGAGACTCTGAGAGACGACTGCCAGCAACTTGTTGTATCTGAAGAACAAAACACATGACGTTTGTTATTAATTTCACCATCCTAACTTCTTTTAGAATGTGGCTATGAATAAATTTCAATTCAATGTTGAAGTAAATAATAGTTTTTGTTTAAAATATTTATAGTAAAAACAAATAATATGCTTATCACATAACTAACATACAGTAAGTCCTAATTTAGTCTGGCTGCTACACCACAGAGGCTGACTGTAGTGCAAATGTCATCTCAGATACTCGCAGTACGACACATAAACAACAGAAACAACATTTATTTTTTATAATTAATGACTTCTGTTTGAAATGACTACTTTTTGGTTGTGTCTTGCTGTGCAGGAATAGCAGCAGAGCATAGAGACAGGTTTACGTATGTGGAGCAACATGTGGTGCAGCTTTACGTTACCTGATGACCTCATGGATGAGCAGTGCATTCATGGACTCCTCATAGAGAACCGGATACTTTTCAGTCACCTCTTGGACACTGAAAGGCTGAGGGACTTGTTCAGCGATGCCTACCACAATCTCCTCCACCGTCTTTAGTTGAAGACAAGACAAATCACAGAAAATATTAAACGTATCTAACGTAACACAACTATTAATGACAAAAGAAGAAACAAAAATCACTTCATAGCAGTACCTCTGCAAATGGTTTGCCTTCAGCAGATGAACGGGAAACTCGAGGCTGGAGACAAGCTACAGCTTTTAACAGGGCAAAGGCCTCATTCTGGCCAAAGGGGATGTTAGCGTTGTCATGGAAACCAAAGATCTCAGCTGTATCATTGATGGGCAAACCATGGACATATGCTAAACAACCCTGGGGTCAGAAATGACAACAGATCATTCAGCTGGCCAGTAGTTGAACATTTGATATGGTCTGAATGTGAAAAGTAAATGTCAAAACATGAGACAGCACTCATGGATAATATTTAACTGACAGGTTAGAAGATGATCCCTACTCAGCACAAACCATGTACACTTTATTTTAACTACAGACAGAAACAATACTGCCAGTCTCACCTTTTAGATTTCCTTGAGTGCGAACAGCAGATAGAACAGTGAAAACATTTAGTGTTACTGTGATTGTGTATCAGAATAAACTCGTACAATGTGGGAACAATGGGAAGTTTGAAAGCATTTAAAACATATTGGTAACATTTTGAGTTCAATACTTTAGTAAGGATGGTGACAAATATCTCACCTGTTTTCATATCTGGCAATTCCTGCACTTTAAAACAATTTTTATGTTTGAACAAAAGTAGACCTGTCCAAGTGGTTGTGTCTTTGGTAATTGCTTTAAGACTTATTATCACAGGAGAATTACAATGGTGCAACACTTAAACAACAAATATGTAGCAATTCTTTAATGGCTGTCCAGTGTCATTGACAATGTAAAGTGAGTCACTTATTACAGAAATATTATGACTGTGACTCCCAGCTTTGGTCAACACGGGTAGTGTACACAAGAATCAAGGTGAAACCATCCCTTAAAATCTTCTTGTGCTTATCTCACCTTGATGTCCAGATTAGAGTCTATTTGTCGGTAGACACCAGATGCTGAGTAGACATGATCAGCACTGAGAACAGCAGGACAACAGAAGTCTTCCAGCACACTGAGCAGACATCGTCTGTCCCAGTCATCTGTCACATGGCCACCATAATTAATCTCCCCAACAGCATATTTGAGAACCTGGACATGTGGAGGATCAAAAAAGGATGCAGACAGATGGGCACACTTAAACACATATTATCTGTTTCAGACCAGAGTTTACCACATGATTGCACTTTTTATTTCAACTGTAATGATAAGCAACATTTCTCAACAATATACTGTGTTCAATTTAGTATAAATTAGTTTGAAACTTTTACTGTGATTGAAAGCTCCATACAGACATACTGTAAGTCTATGGGTCACCACCTTAAAGGGGATGTCCTGGTACTCATTCAGGAACATTTTTGTTTGGCTGATACAGATGTTCAGGTCATCATCAGAGAATTCATAGGGAACATTAAACCCCAAAGGGCCAAACTTTCTTCGCTCCGAAACAACTCCATGAAACAAGCAGAGAGACAGGAGCAAAGGCTTAAAGTGTGCCATCTACAGATGGAGGAAGAGCAAAATAAATGGGAGATGTTTTATTTATGACACGTAGCAACAACACCTAAAAGAGATGTTTTGAAAAGAACACACTTATTTAAATTGTAAATTATAAAGACATAAGTCTAAGAGGATGAAATAAGTCATTGTAAGGGTGACTAAAGGAGTTGCAGACCTTGGTTGAAGAGCAGATAAACTCATTGGTGAATTTCAGGTAGGTTCTTTGTAGGCGCGCTCTGATGCCACTTGGCAGCTCACTGGTAATCCTGGTACCACTCTTGAGAATGGACACTGGAAACTTGCTACTGGGAAAAGTTGTGAGCCACAGGCGGAAGTCTTTGTGCACCTGTACATTCAGGAGGACAATACATGTAAATGTTACTGAAGTGTACAAGAGATCAGAACAATTTGTGCTTTTGATTAATCTAAAATCAAACAAATAAATAATAAGTAGTTATATTTTCGTGGTGTCTTTGGTATCCATAGCTTTGAGGATGTGTCCTAACCTTAACTGGGTCAACCATTTCAATGAGTCTCTCGAGGGTTGGCATCCAGCTGGGTGCCAGGTGACAGTTCTGAAATAAAACCCACTGACCTCTTTCCATTGCAGTACACATTACAGCCTCGGCCAAGGGGCCCTGGAAAGTTAAAACAGCAAAAGAAAAGAAAAGTGAGTTTTAAAGATAACAGATGAATCATCAAGAGACTAAAGTTTTGTTTAAAGAAATAAAAATAAATTAGATAATTAAGGTTATGCCAAGGAATAGTTTGGTTTTAGGACGCAACACGTGTGGCAGATGTATAGCCTTCCAGGAATTACAGACAGGGTGATACCATCCTAGCATGAGGTGGGATTTCAGCCAGTAATGCAGAAAACACATGCTAACAACAACTGAACAGTCACAGAGAGAGTATGTGGATGAGAAATTATTTCCAGTTTTGTGGACATTTTCCTAAAACTTTGGGTTTACACGTTTCATAAAATGTAGAATACAGTATGTTACAGTAGAGCGGTGCAATGGCTGAATTTCAGTCAGAAACAAACACACACAAACAAATATTACTGAGATTCAATCATTACAAGCAATATGGGATAATGAAGTCTGACCTGGCCTTGTCCTAGAGAGATGGTAACTATTTTGTCAGAGAACTGCATGGCTTCAGCAAACTTGTAGATGTCAGCAGTAGGGTCAGAGCCAGAGGACAGGACAAAAATGATGGGACTGATGGGGGATGACTCCTTAAAGATCACAGACAAATCTGGAATCTGTAGAGACAAAAAATAAACAAACGAAAGCCACTGTTATATCCTGTTTAGATAAATTATTGCATTTTTTTAATTTAATTATTGCTATCTGACAATTGTTGCATTGAAACAGAACGAGCCAAAATAACCTAAACCTTCATCACATCATTATTGTTCAAGTAAAAGTTAAGTTTTTACATTTAAACAAGTACATCTGTCTTATGTGCCTATTTATTCACTGGCCTTTAGAACAACATGAGACTTGCTTTTTCTTATTTTACTACTGTTGTGGTGCTTTTACTGATCCTATTATTTAATTGTTTTTATTCTTTCTATTTTGTGTTAAAATATTTTTTGACTTTACATGTACAACATGTTGCAGCAGTGGTTATTTTAAAGTGTCTTATAAATAAAGTAGTAGTAGTACAAATTTTTGCATGTTCTAGTGTTACTTAGCTGTGGATATTACACAATGCTACATGAACCAGAGGGGAGGGACTTTATACCAACCACAAACTGGTATTTGGAAGCAAAAGATGAATGAAGCTATTGCAACATTCAGGCAGTAACCTGCAGCATCCTGCAGTACGTCAAAGTTTATAGTGGAAATAAAAACAAGCAATTGTTAATGAAAAGCCTCAATATAAATTAATAAACTTTACAATGAAAAAAGATGTAAAGCAACAAAGAAGACTAATGTAGTTTACATTTAGTTTAGGATCAGAGAGGCTGTTACGCATAAATTTGGAAATCAATTGGCATAAATTTTAAGACTGTGTTGCATATTGTCCAGGACATCCTTGTAAAAGAGATTAATAATCTCAATGGATTAATTTCTTCCGGGTAAAATAAAAGTTTAAAATAAATAAATAAATAAATAATTACAAATAAAATTGCAGAGAGGCAGAAACTTTCATAGAACTTTGTCCGGTCAGATCCAGGATCTAAACTGGATGAAAACATTGTTTAATTTACGAGTCTTAAGTTGAGGAGAATGTGTGCAGGATTTTATACATTTATCATTAAAGCTAGTTTATATGATGTGACTTGTTTTTACATAGTCAGTAGGGGGAGACAAAATTTCACAATTCGGGAGCAGTAAGTAAGTACCGGTAAGTAAACTTTATTTACATAGCACCTTTAACAGGTCAGAAATCACAAAGTACTTTACAGAATATATGACATAAAAACACAAAAGATAAAACAGAAAGAGAGATAAAACAACATATGTGTGACATAAGACACAATAAAATTAATTAAAAGACAATCTGAACCAATTTGTCTTCAGCTTCTTTTTAAAAGAATCAAGAGAATCAAGGCAGCGCAAAGTCAGAGGCAACACACTCCACAGTCTGGGGGCCACAGCCCTAAAAGCTTGATCCACTCTGGTGTTAAAATGAGTCCATGGGACCATTAACAGCCTTTGACTGGAAACTGAGGCTGCGAGAAGAGGAGTAGGGCTCTATAATAATAATAATAATGTCATCACAATGTTTCCATACAATGGCGAAATTAGTCTCTGCATTTAACCCATCCACCACCAGGTGGTGCAGTGGGCAGCTATTGAAAGCGACTGGGGGGCATTTTGGGGATGAGACGTGCTGCCCAGAGACGCCACAAGGTCAGAGACTGGGGCTTGACCACTCAGGGCTCTAAAAGAAAGCAGCAAAATTTTAAAATGTATTCTAAAATGTACTGGTAGCCAATGTAAAGAGATTAAAACTGGCAATATGGGCTGTCTTTTCCGTGAGTTGGTTAAAAGCCTTGCAGCAGCATTCTGAACTGTCTGCAAACTATCAAGATCCTTCTTAGTCAAACAAATGAAAAGACTTACAATAATCCAGACGGGATGCAATAAAAGCATGGATAATCATCTCTAATTCAGCTTTTGACACAAGAGACTTAAGCCTAGAAATAGTTTTTTAATTGAAAAAAGCAGTTTCTGATTAATCCACGAGAATGACACTGCATTAACATGGCTGAATCAAAAATAATGCAAAGATTTCTGAGACTTGGTTTAACAGAAGAGCATACAACACCAAGGTGTTGCTTAATTTCAGTTATTCAGGAGTAGGACCTTCAAGCTAATGACAGACAGGAATTACCGAAGATGAATTAAAAAGGGTTAAAAAATAAATAGTTGGACTTCTATTCTAAAGGTCAAGATCAAGGTTTCTTTATTGTCATTTGCACCTCATGTGGTACACGTGGTCAAACGAAATTGTGTTCACAGGGTCCCAGTCACATCCAACAAAAGTATAAAATGTAAAAGAAAAACAGTAAAAAGATCTAAGATATGAACTAAGAAATATGCTAAACTAATAATACACTAAACACTAATAGCACAAAAATAATACCCCGAATAACAGCAGCACGAACATGAGTCTGTATGAGCAGATGAGTACGAATGAACTAAATGACGTATGATGAACAAATGAAGCATGGATAGCTTCAGAATAATCCAGTTGTTTTTGGTTTTTTTTTACTTTTTTTTTTTGGATTGATCATGACCTGGATGATCTTCACCTGCAAACTGATGACATAATTCTGGTTTTAACAAAAATGTGAAGGAAGTGTGGATTAGAGAAACTACCTGAGGCTCTATGTAGCGCTGTCCCAGCTGAGCAGACACAAAGTCCTGCAGGCCCTGAATCAGGCAGTCAGGCCGCAGACAGCGAAGCAACAACAGCTTCTGGAATGAGCTCAGCCTGGTGTCCCATTCTCCTGGGAGAGGCTCTCTGTACACAAACCACCTTATGAAACACTGTCATTTTCTGCTAAGTACACACAAAAGTATAAAGTGTGCATGTGTACATTTAGTGAATATAAAGTCATGCCTGTGAGGGTGCTTGCTGTCTAAAATTGTCTTGAAGCCCTGCAGATGTTTGGTGAAGCTCTCTGCCAGGCTGCTGAAGATGTCCAGAGTGCTGAGGCCTAAAATGTCCTGCCAGGTGTGCTCTGACAGCCAGCTCGCTCCTGGGTTGGTCAGGGCTTGAACAGACGTGGCTCCAGCGAGCAGGTATCTCCACTCAGCCTGTCACAGAGAGAAAAGTAGATTTATTAAATAAACATGGACTAGACTGATATGATCCATAAAAAGAGTAAAAACTCCCACAGACTTGTCACAGTCAAGAATCACCATGTCAATCTTGTTTTTGTTCATCGTGATGAGAGCACACAGAAGAAAGGCAAACATGAGTTTGTGTTTTTCAAACAGGCTGCGGCACACGTTGCTGAACAGACTAAAGGTGAAAAACTCATTTATGTTGGTGATTCTCTTCTCTTTTGTTTCTGGAAATACATAATTTATATCAACATTTAGTATCTTTAAACATCATAGCCATTTGTACACTCATAAATATATGTATGATCTTGCGGTCAGAATTTCCTAGTACCTGCTGTGTCAGAGTTGGCCACAGCAGCCATGAAAATACCAAGGAACCATTCTAGAGAGTACTGGTACGTTGGATCAGTGTTGGACAGCTCTGACACACAAAGGAAGAGAATTTGTGCGTTCGCTGCCACCGGCATATATTCCAGACGAGTGGTGTCAATGTCCTGCTTTGTCTTCTCTGCTTCTATCACTTTAGCCTGTTTTGAAAAACAAACAGAAACTCGGAAACAAACCTAATCAGCAGCATCTTCGTTTTTAATTGCACTCAAATATCTTCTAAGGTTTTAAAGGTAATTGTAAATGATAACCAGCATTTTTGAACCTCAGTACAGTTAATATTTGAGATGCATCTTTTCGACTGTCTGACCTTAATCTCTCCAGCTTTGATCTTAAGATCCTCCAACACAGAAATCTGATCTTCAGAGTCTATGGGGTTTCCCTTTCCAGAGTTGAGACAAGACACAATCTTGTCCTCAGTTTCTTTCAGCACCTGTTTCATCTGGGCATGGCTGAGAATTAGCTTGTTCTTTGCCTCCTCCAGGTCTGGATGCTCCTTAGCTAGCACTTGACTCAACAGCTGCTCTTCCAAACTGCTGTAGATACATTAATATAGAGTCAAACAAAAATAATAATTAGAGTTAGAATACTTAGTTTAAAAGCAAATAAAAATAAATCACAGACTATTTTTTTACACTTGTTCTAAACTGCTTGTTTCAGACTAAAGAAGAAACACTGCAAACTAACAAACCCATGCGAGTAAAACATTTTAAAAAAATTTAAATAATACGATCATGATTTACAGTTACTTTTAAGGAGACTTTACCGGTGCAACATGTAGTAACTAATTATCACTAAAGCGTTTTAAGTGAAGTACCTGATTAAACATTCAACTATTTTACAAAAACAAACTCAAATCATGTTTTGAGAAGTAATGCGTGCCTCTTTGTTCAGTTTTATTTAAACCTTGATGTTCAAATGTTTTCAGAGCTGTGATAAGTAGAAGCCCTACTAAAAGGTGTTGCTTTGAATCAAGGACCACTCCTGGTTCAACAAATAAATATTTCTATGGACAACTGTTACAATGATGGGGTTGTATAAATAGCGTTTAGTGCAGGCACAATTTTTCATTCAACCTTTATTAATACAGGTTAATTCCATTAAGCCCCGGGGACTCATTTACAAGATTGACCTGATTTCTTTAACAAAGAGTGATGACAACAGTGGATAACAACGACAACAATAGACAGTCATAAAAGAGGCATACCATTTTGTTTTCCAAATTAAAATAAAATAGCAACTAAATGGACAGTCAAAAGAAAAAAGTAGCAGAAAAAAACAGCTAGATTAATTGATGATGACCAACAAAAACAAGATTCAAGCTGTTTTATTTTTTTGTTTTTAAAATCTGTTACCTCTTTGACAAGGTGAAGTTAATGACTGTAACTTTTCCATAAACCTCTGGAGAGTAGTGTGGGTTTGGCAGCTTGGTGGTGATGTACATCTTGAAGCCTTCATGGTAGGAGATGACTGACTCACACAACATCAGAACTGTTTGGCCTTGCTGCTTAAACGTCTAGAAGGCAAAAGTGCAGAGTAAGCAGTTCAGTGCGTAGTGGATGATTAAGTTACTGTCAACAGATCTAACATGTATACCTGTTGAAACAAGACAGGCTGTAGAGATGGATCTAGCTCCTCTCCTACATTTTCCAAAAGGACGGGTTTACCAAAGAAAATGGCATCCTCAAGACAGCGGAGGTAGTCTTGATTACTGGGCTTCAAAACAATCAACCCATTGTCCTGCTCCTGAGTGACAACAGTAAGTAAATGAGCAGTGAAAGCAGGTTCAAATGCGTCATGGATGTTTTAACATCAAGTAAACAATATTTGCTGTGTAATGCATAGGCCTGTCACAATAACAAATTTTGCTGGGTGATTAATTGTCTCAGTAATTATCGTGATAAACAATAATATTGTTTGAAATTTTACAATAATTAGTACCGATAATTATTGTCAAATTTAAGAGTAAACGTTTTTTTTTATTTATTTGTTTTGCATGTAGTACCTTTTTTCAATCACCGGATGGCAGTATAAGACTGTTTGAATTGAAGGATGGATAGTGAGGGAGCGAGCAGCATGTCTATTTAAGAAAAATGGGAGGGAAGCCCCTTGATGGGTCACGGGCTGTTTCTCTTCGGTTCTCAAAATGGCGGACACTCGGTGTGGTTTGAGCTTTTTAGCATAGCATTTTTCACACATAATTTTTAATGAAAAATCAGTAAACAAGTTTTCAGCTTCTTTTTGCAGAGAAAAACAACTTTTTACACAAAGACACGGGTTTCAACTGTGAATTTTGGAGCTGCGACAAGACAGAGTTCCCCCCCCCCCCCCCCCCCCCCGCAGGTTGGCCTGTTAGCTTAGCTCGTAGCTTCTCAGCTTAGTAGTTGAAAAAGAGACACGAAGAAACGATAAAGCCGATAAATGAAAATGAGGTCGATAATTTTCATTTATCGTGTGATTAAATGATTTATTGTTTATTGCGACAGGCCTAGTAATGCATGTAATGCTACCCTTAACAAAAAGTAGTACATTTGAAGTTTATTTTTGCAAGTATACAAAGTACTTCAAGTTAAGTACAAGTATATCAAGTATACTACACACCATACTTGTAGTGTACTAGAAAATATACTGATTTAATACTTGTTTGGACTAAATTGGGACATTTTTATACTATTTTTAAGTATATCAAATAAAGTTCATAAAAAGTAAACTTCAAGTACACTTCCTCATTTTTAGTGTAAAATAAGTATACTTGTAGTATATTTCAATAAACTACTTTTAGCTAAAGGTAGCTGCAAACAACACTTAACAATATTAACATAACGACAATACTAAAATACACTTAACATTTTCATGATGGTATTTCAACCCAAATGGCACCTTCTGCAGTTTTCACACAATATGCACATGGAAAAATAAAGGCCATTACCATTTTTTTGATCCATTTGTTGGCTTGTCCTTGAGGATCTAGGAACAGAGGCCAGCGCAAAGAATACTGAGCAATAAGACCACTCTCCACTGACGGTCTATCTTTGGCCAGTCCTGATATCTTTGCACATGGAAATATTAAATTATGGTCACTTACTGTATGTAGTAAAATGCTTAAAAAGTAAAAGTAATTTGATTTCTATTCATAGATGCAAAATAGCTAGATCAGACTTACATCAAGTACAAAAATCAATAACTTTACACAATTTTAAACTATGTAAATGTCTCCTAATCTGCTTGAAACCAGATAATTTATTGATAGTCTGCCTCTGACCTGCCAAAAGAGGATCTTGTTTGAATCTCCCACAGTATTAATCAGGTTTGGCTCATCAGTATGTGGAAGACTCAGCTCTTTGAAACACTTCAGCCACTCTTCTGCCATGGATGCCCGATAAATTTCCTAAACATAAAAAGAGTACATAAAAAGTAGAGATGCACGGTATTGGATTTTTGGCCGATATCCGATATGCCAATATGTTAAAACTTATTCGACCGATAACCGATACCAATACCAATACCGATATATTTTTTCTGGACCTATAGAGACTACATAGCTTTCTCTGCTGTGGAATTAAAATACAACATTATTCTGCATGCTCTTTGACACTTTGGTCTTCTACCAAATACAGATGCCAAAAAGGAGTCTGGAAATGATATAACACTTCAACTTGGATTTTGCTTAATGTCAAATTAATTCATGACATTTACTCTCTCTAACACAATGACAACACTCAAACAGTGCAAATTTGTAAATTTTTACAAATCTAAACTCAACCTGTTAACAAGCGACAAGTGAAAAGCGTATAAGTAGTAGTGCATTAGTAGATATATTTGACAGTTACTTAAAAAAAACAAAACTTAAAACAGAAGCCTAATAGGTGGTTATACAATCTTAATGATCAACTCAAATCTCTATGAATTCTGCTATGTGTAGATAAATTCAAAAGTGCAAAAAAATTGTCAGCTTCTTTCTTTTGTCATAACATAGCCCTCTTATTTATGCTTATTTGCTATAAAAATTGTGTAACAAATGTGCTGGTGCTGCAGGCATCCTTGTCACTGGGTTGTCATACAAAAACAGTGCCATATATATATATATATAT